GTAGAAAAAAGCTGAGAAGGGGAAGTAGACATAAAAAAACGAAAAAAATAAAAGGAAAAAGGGAGGAAACGATTGTTGCAATAATGGAGGAGAACCCATATTTTTTGTGTTGAAAACCTAGATTTGGGTTGTCATTAACACAAACCCAAATCTGGGTTCACAAATATGAACCCAAAGAAAAAATATGAGAAGGGAGAGTAGAAAAAAGCTGAGAAAGGGAAGTAGACACAAAAAAAAAAAAAAAAAGGGAAAAAAGGAGGAAACGGTTGCTACAATAATGGAGGAGAATGGTTGTTCGAATAATGGAGAAAAGGGAGATAATGGAGAACAGTTACTGAAATAATGGAGGAGAGGGAGATAACGGTGGAGAACGGTTGCTGGAATAATGGAGAAGAGGGAAAAGTTAATTGCCGAAGTTGCTGAAAGTTAATCTCACTTTTTGGGGGATTTGGTGCTATAGATGTATTAGCAACATAGTGCTTGTTGCTGAAATTCACTTTCAGCAATATGTTCCTTGTTGCTAAAAGTTCAAGCAACTTTTCCACATTAGAGAATTTCAACAAAATTTCAGCAACATTGTCCTTGTTGTTGATATTCACTTTTAGCAATGTGCTTCTTATTGCTGAAAGTTAAGTTCACTTTTTGAGAAATTGGCTACCTTATAGGTATCATCAATATGGTCTTGTTGGTGAAAATCTATATCACTAGCAAGTAGTTCTATGTTGCTGATAGTTAATTGCTAAAAAGAAAAATTTTAGTAGTGATATTGCTTAGAAACCCTTTTTTCTCAACAAAGAAATTATGAATCATATTTTCATTTAATCTAAACATATTCAAAGGTTTTAAAATATGAAAACCTAGCATGAATGCTACCAAACACACCGTTACTGGGTCAATAACCAGTGAAAGTCCCTTGAACCAATTGCCGATCGTAACTTGAAAAGAAAAAAATCAGCTCGGACCGGTGGCTATTGGCCCGAAGCCGTCGATCACAGAATGACGGATTGACTGTCGTAGCATCTGGGACCCATACATAATGTAAAAGTGGAACTGGAATCACCATTACCATGTGCTGAACTGGCAATAAGGCGGTGATATAGGAGTTTTTTTTTTTTTTTTTTTTTTTTTTAACCAAATCATAATCATACTTACCATACTAAGGAAGATGGTAAAAGAAGATCATTAGGGACTCAAATTTTCAATATGAGATAGTGTTCTCACTAACAATCAAGTTGCAAATCATTTATTCTTAGTGTGAGGAACTTTTATAATTTTTATATATTATTAAATAAATAAATAAATTTAATATTAAATATTTTAAATAAATAAAAAAAAATTAATTATTTAAATAATATATAAAATTATAAAAAATAATATAAAAAATTATTTCTAAATTATTATTTTTTTGTTGGCAGCAGGCCAAACGGCCAAACGTACAAATCACGGTGAGGAAGGGGGGACTGGATCGACATTTTCTTACCAAATCTTAGGCTAAGCTCTAACTTTATTTTAAAATTTTTATTAAATTTTTAAATTTTTATTAAAGCAAATAAATTTTTAAATTTGCACTTGAATTTCATGACTCAATAGGTATATATTTCATTGTAAGGTATACCACCCTAATTGTAAAATTGGAGCATCGAATCCCTCTCTTTCAAAATTGCAATTTGTTCAAAAAAAATTAATTTAATGATTATAACAATTTAACTCATTTTTTCTGGTAAATTAATGTTTATTTGTGTGTTATTTATATAAATAAAATATTAACATATCATTGCCTATGTTGTGAGTATATAAACTAATGTAAGTCCATTATGAGAAATAAAGTTAAATTATTCAAATCAACAAATTTAAGGATTTATTTATTTTAATAAAAATTTAAAAACTTAATCAGGAATTTAAGATAAGTTCAGGGACTTAACTCAGAGTTTTGCCTATTTTCCGCCTATCAGCGCCGAATTCGGGGCTAGAACAACAGAAACTAAATCAAATCTTCGCGCTCTCTGTACTCAGCAGAAGCTTAATGGTGTAACAGCCTGCACAACAAGCCATCGGTCTTTTCATTTTCTAAATAGACGATGGGAGATGTGGAAGAGAGAGTAGAAGATGCAGAGTACGAGAGTGAATCGGAGGATTTGGCGCTGTTCTTTCTGAGACGAAGAGAAGCGACGGATGACGATGAAGAAGTGGAGGACTGTGAGACGGTTGTAAGTATCAATCGGAAGCTTCGGATGGATTACGGCGATGAATCGGACGGTCTAGATGGACTACCGGAGTACTACGATGATGTGTCGTACATAGACGAACTTGAAGAGCTTGCGGATGAAGTTACTGATGATTTTTGTGGAGAAAAAGAGCCAGGAGACTACGAGAAGGGACGAGCTGAAGACGAGGTTACGGCGATGAAACTGAGGAGAGAAATGGAGAGAGATGCGTCGTCGGTTCCAAAAGTCGGTGCGTTCTATATGCATGATGATCGATTCGGATTTGGCCGTGGCCGTCGACAGAGGTACTTTTCTTTTGGTTTGATTTTACGCTTTATAATCGGGACCGTGAACTAGTAAATAGATATTTATGCAATGCATGTGGAGAAAAATCGATTCTTAGAAGAATAAAGTCGATCCGAATCTTGAAAGCACTTGAAGTATTTCGGATTTCTTGAGGCTTGATTTTAATGTCTGCAGGAGCCTCCTTTTGCATGAATACATACAACTGTCAAGTAGATGCATTTTGCCCTTCGATTCATCACCAGATTTTCATAAAATTTTTTTTATGAGATATGAGATGTCTGGTGGAATTATGCCAATTCTATTACTTTTTATGGACAATGTTAGGTGATTGTGGTGGTTAATACTGATTTTTACTGTATTTAATTCTATTTTCCTTCAAGTTGCTAGCTTAATTGTCAATATGCCTGTGGCCATACAACATTGAATAGTTATTCATGTCATAAATTCGTGTTTCCTGAAGGCTGGACATGATATGTCAATCGTTTGGAGTCCGGGACCATATACAGAGTGTTTTTTCTTTTTCTTTTTTCTTTTTTTTGAAGTTTCTAAATAGTGCTTTGATTTTGGATTTTGATTGTCAACAGAATCTTGAGACTGTAGTCTTAAAGTAATTTTGAATTTGTTGTTGTACTTTTGTTTCTTTCAGGCAAAATTGGAATCTATGGGAACTCAAGGAGGAAGCAAAGTGGAAACATGACAAGTTTGAAGAGATGAAACTGCAGGAAACACATAATACGGAACTTAATGCCTCTAAAGTTTGGTCTATATGCCAAATACAGTTTTTATATTTCCTGATGCTCTCTAAAATGGTGGTGGAAAGACTTATCATATTGCTGCAGATTTGATTGATTCAATTGAAAATTATACTGTAGGAATGAAAGCACCTGCCTAAGACTTTTTGAATTGTATCACTAGGCACAAAGGGCTTCTACAGATTGTTGTCAAGGTCCCAAGGAAAGGGAGAGGATAAGAGTCTCCATGCTGCATGACAACTCTGCAAATCAAGGCAATTCATCAAGAAAAGTAAGAGGGAGAGGACCAGTCAGATATAGACCTCTCTTGAAAAGCAGCAGTACTGTGGAGCCACAAACAAAAAGCCAGAAGTAAGCTAACATTTTTTGAATTGATAATTTGTTGGGAGATCCTCTTTTCATTCAATAGATTCTTAGAGTGCTTTGTCAGTTTATATTTGCTGATGTTTCAGATTAATAAAGCCCCCGAGGTCCACCTCTAAAACTTGTTCAGCTAGGGTCTCAGCAAAGAACAAGCAGTAAGCTGCATATCTGTTTATTTAAATTATTCTTTTATATAATTTGTTCCAAAATCCTCATTTCATTCTTTCCAGATTGTTATTTATTGCTTGGTAACTCAGTCCAGAAATGCATTGAATTTGGACCCAACAAGAGTATTCTCAAATAAAAATTATAGTTGGTCTGAATTTTGCAGCCTTAGAGTGACCTTGGAATTTCTCATTCCCCTAGAGTTTTCTCAACAAAGAGTCTCAATTTGCTTCATATCTTTTTAGATTGATACTTATTTTTTTCTGACCTTTCAGGCCTGGAGAAATCCTGGGAATGAATTCAAATAATGATTCAACAAGTGCATTTTCATACCCCTTGAATGCAGCTAGATATTCATATGAATTTGGATTACTGGAATCTCTCTCCAGAGCTGTTCAATCAAAAGATGCATTGGTAGGGAATGGAAGCAGAACTCTTCTGAGCAGCAAGGGAGGTTCTCTTCAATACTCTAGAACACAGGATGGCCAGAACTTGAACGTTTCTCAAGAATTTATGCCTGGTATGCAATTCCTAGTAATTTTTGTGGGTATTATTGCTGTTTCTGATTATTAAGTTGTTAAAATTATCACTCAAATCAATGATAAAAAAAAAAAAATTTCACTCAAATATCCAAAACTTTGTTGTCTAGAACTCCTTGTTAGTTATTATTGCTGTCACTGGTTGTTTCACAAGGTTCCTTAGTAGTTATATTGGGTTAACTACTTGGAATGTAGGTTAAGGTACCTTTCAGTACCCCAGTCCAGTAGTTTTTTTAAAAGGAAGATTTCAAACCTAATCTGACGAAAAGTTTGGATCCTGTGTAACAAAATTAGCCCTGACTCATTAATTTTAGATAGATTAATGATTGTGGGGTCTTTGATAACATATGCCATAATTCATTATATCATTTTCCTTTGAACTTTGTTCCTTAATTAGAAAGTGGTTTGGTTTGGCCTACCTGTGTGAATGTCTTTGCATAGGAGAGAGAAAAGAATTGCCAGGATTGTAATAATTGGTAACACAATTTAAAGTAAACTATAAACTTGTTGAACTATGTGCGCCAAACAAGAAAAAATAAACTTGTTGAACTGTTCGAGCTGGGTTATTGTACTCTAGTCAGAAATATAGTCCGTCAACAAAATTTTGTTTTACTTTCATTCCCTTCGTTCCTTTTAAGTTTGAATATTGGAATTTGGATGAACAGTTACGCAAGTTGGGGACCTGCATTTTGATGGTCTTGGTGATCCTGTTCAATCACAAGTTGGTTTCGGTAATTCCAAAATGTTATGGTATGTTAATTTTCTTTATATTTAAATGAAGTTTCACTAATTAATCAAAACAAAAGAAAAAAAGGAAGTTTCATACTTTCATTCATGAGAAGTTACCACTAAACAGAATAGAAGCTTGTGTCTTTAGAATCACATCTCATATGCTCCTCTTATTATAATAAGCCATCTTTATCATAATTAACCTGTTGCTTGCTGAAATTTTTTTGTCTATACATAAATGCAAAAGTAATTCATAAAAAGGGAAAATAAACGTCAGTAAGACTTGAAATTAATGTGATTCTGCCCTAAAATTCTGTATTTTTTCTAGACTGAAAATAAGCAAGCAGTTTTTACCAGATACTGGATGGATACTTTAGACAAGCTTGATGGAGAACCTTGGAAGTATCTATGATGAGATGATCTCATTCTGACAGCAGTTTTAAGTTGACTTGGTTTCAAACTGGTTGAACATCCAAATGCACGTCCTTTTATTTCCTTCTATTGTGGGCAGTAATTGTTGGAAGATTTCATTTATCATAGATGTCATTTCTAACGTGATATATCTGATTTTTTTTCCTTTAGTTGAATAAGTTGCATAGATAATTTATCTTGATTTTTATTTTTATTTTTTTTATTTTTGTATAAGTGTATGTGTTCTTGTAAATCAATCTGATCGTGATCTCCAGGCTTCCAGCTCTATGGGGTAACGCTGGAGCTCCAGAGGCCATACAATTATCTGCTTTTGTTACCCCTGGTGCTGCTCCTTATCCTGATTCACTAGGACTGTCTCCCACTCATGTTGCAAGGTTGGTAGCATGGAAGATGCTATTGTTTATGTTCTCTTTAGAGGTTTTTGGGTTATCTCTTTTGCACTATCTCATGATATCTGAAACATTTTAACTGGGAGAATGATTCCTTTCCTCTCTTTCTAAAACTATTTGATTCTGATACAACTCTTCTGCTCTCATGGATTTCCAAAAATCATTTGACTGTAACTTGGAGAACATGGCATGGAGGATACTATTACTAAATATAGGATGGTTTTTGGGTTAAAAATGGGAACTTTCTCCCTTCCCTTTACACTCATCCCACCCACATTTCCTACTACTCAAACTCAAGACGTCTTACTTCCACAACAACGAGATTACAATGGGCCCTCTTAGGTTGTTGTCAAATATAGGATGTTTTATTTAGTTGCCCAGGTAATTTATCTTGAATTTTGTATGACATACAGTGAAACTATCCTTTTATACAAGTCCGATGCTGATTCACAGATTACCAGTTTTCTGGGGTAATGCTGGAGCTGTAGGTGCAACATATTTATCAGCTCTTGTCACCCCTGTTGGTGATTCTTATCCTAATTCAATAGAATTTTCTTCCACTTATCTTTCCTGCAGGTTGGTCACATGAGGATGCTATTATTTATAATCTCTTAGAGGTTTTTATATTATCTCTCTGCGCTTCTTACCTGAAGAACTACTCCTTTTCTCCCTTTTAAAAACAATCTGATTGTGACACAAAACCTGTGCTGTCCTGAAGTCCCAAAGGTCTCCATGATTGGTCAAATTTTTTACTAACAGTGAGTTGTGGTTACCTTTATAAAAGTCTATTGAATATGAGAAAGAGCTGTCATAGGTCATTTTTGAGCCAGTGGTCTTTGTTTTTTACCTTTTGGAAATATAGCCTGGTAATCTAAATATTGGAAAATAGAAACTTAATTCTCATGGAAAATTTTGTTGTTCTTACCCAAACCTTGCAATTTTCTTTCACTGACAGTGATGTCTAATTGTCTACTTGGGTTTGCATAGATGAAATATATATC